CGAGTCGCACGGCCCTCTGAAGCGGGTGGCGTCGTCATGGTTTCTGCGTCAATCGGCGGCATGCTGGATCACTGCGCTGCAACGCAGCTTCGGCCTCGGCAAGCCTACCAGTAAGAACCTCTTCTGGCAGCCCATGTGGTGACTTCCGCAAGAAGCGGACGGCCTTGAAAAAGCGGCCCCTGCGGATCTTGTGCAAGCCCTTCTTGGGGGAATACCTGCAGCAACGGTGTGCCTTCATGGACGCATCCTCCCGAGAAGTGAACAAGTGGTTGCAACTCGAGCAGCTCCAAGCATGCTTCCACACAACTCGTGTTGGCCTAGGCCGAGCGTGGTCGGTGGTGATCATCGGCCAAAGCAGTGTCTGGTAGCCGTCGTACTCGTGGCAAGAGGTTCCTCGGACACGCTTCGCAGCCCGCTTGTTGGCCGCCTGAACCACTCGAATGCGCCGAGCACACCGACGCCGCTGAGCCTGGGCCGCAGCCAAAGCCTGCCACTGCTTGGTATCGAAGGAAGGGTGCTTCTTCCGCCGATGAGCAGCCTTCTCGCGATCAACCACATGCCTCGTCAGGGTCTGCTGTAGGCCGGAGGGGAGCCCAAAGCGGCAAACAGGACACTTCCAGTCAAAAGCATCGGCACGAACCTCGTCTGCACTGAGCTGTCTGAAAGCGCTGGTCACCACCCTGATGGGCCCAGGGAGCCCAGCACCATCATGCCAACGATTCAAATGCTGTCGTCTCGCCTTACACACGATGTCCCGTGAGGCATGCGAGTAGGCATAATCACAATGAGGGCACTCGAAGGTTGGGATCCTGCCCCCAGCCGCCAAAGGATTCTCACGGTACCTCTTTTGGCGCAAAGCCCAAACGCTCGCCCCGAAGGCACAGGATCCTCCGCTGCAGCACCAGGCTCGGGAGGAGCAGCAGCAACATCGATGGAGCCAGCATCGGAGCGAGGCGCCGTGCATCTCCCCAACGTCGAAGGAGCCTTGCAAGTAGGAGCGGCGTAGGTGCAGCCGCCCAACGACGACGCTTTCGAAGAGGCAGTGCGGCCTATAGAGGCCCGGCCGCGCACACTGTCCTTGCCCCCACCCCGATCGGCAGGGTCTCCCACCTCGGCCTTGACAGCCCGAGCAGCAACTTCATCGGCTTCGCCAACAAGGGCTTGATAATGACGACGCTGAAACCACAGAGTAAGAGGGGTGGCCTTCGAGTTGGCCGGCCCGAAAACCCTGATATCAAACTCGCCACCGAGGGGCCTCACAACGAAGATCGGCTGGTTGAGGGTAGAAGCAAGGGCGGCCAGCTCGATCGAGCCGCCCCAGGCCTGATCACGGCCAAAGAGCCTGAGATATTCTGCAAAGCCTTGGCTTTTGATATCGCTCTGCTCGGCGTTCGGCGCACGCGGAGTAAGTGGCCTCGTGCTTCCTCAAGTGAGTCACACACAAGTTGCGAAGGTCGGCCGCTGACCGTCGTGAACGGCCCTGTGCAACAAGGGCCTCGCTGACCGCTAAAAAGAGACAGTCTCCTTGGCCGGCATTGTCAATCAACTTCATGCCGGCAGGGATCTGAGGCCCCGAGCCGGCAGTAGCGCCACCAGTCTTCGGCCTCTTGGCTGCAGCATCGTCGGACCCTTGCCCAGGCAGCGACTTGCCATCATCAAGTCGAGGCCGATCGCCGCCGCCATCGACGTGCATGGTCTCCTTTGGCCTCCTGGGTCTCCTGAGCCGAGCCAGCCGCTTTGCTCCGAGCAGTCTTAGTTTGCCGCTGGCTGCGACCAGCGTAAACCTGCTTGATCTCGAGGGGCAACGCGCGGTCTCGAGCGTGATGGTTGTCCCGCCCAAGCCGCGAAAACTCGATGGTATCGCCGTCCAAGTCGATGGAGATGAAGTCGGTGTCAGCCGGCATGGTAGCACGGAAGGTCCATGCAGTGGCCCCCTTCCAGGGCAGTCTCTCCTCAACACTCGGCTCCTCGAAGCGGCACTCAACAAGGAACTCGGACACGTCCTCGACGCACCAAGCGCGCGGGACACCACAAGCCCGCCACAAACGCCTAAGAGTGCGTGGCTTGGTGAGCTCGGCCTCAGAAGCCGCCCGCCTGATGCCAAGCTGTTTGGCCCCCCCGGGCCAAGCCAAAGTCGACCGCCTGAGAGGCACGGCGGCAACGCGCAAGGTAAGTTCCCCACGCCTCGCTCGGCTCCCATTCTTGCCAATGCACCGTCAAAGCAGGAACCCCCTGGAGCTCCTGAGCCCTGCTCACATTGGAAACAAACCACGTCTCGCCCCCATGCCGGGAGCCAGAGGCAGACAAAGCAGCAGCCACTCGAGAGGACGGCACGCGAATCAATCCCTCGACTGTGGCCTCGGCACCTCCCGGGCCCCGAGTGAGCTGCCACTGCCACGTGTCTTTGATGCTGCCAAAGGAGTCAGCAGCCCAAGCTCTAAAGTGAGCTCCAGATTCCTGGTTATCTCAGCCCAAGCTTTCTCTCCCTTCTCACAGTACACCCAATCAGAGTGCACACGAAGAACTGAGGTGCTCTGAACGACCGGCGCCTTTGGGTTAAAAGCTGACGCCTTGAGAGACGGGGCCTCAGGAGAGCATTGAGACACCCACACAGAAGCAACGCGAAGATGATTCTTCCATGTGCCCGGAACCCGTGCCTCGACCCACTCGACCTCAGCAAACTCCCGACGCCTGGCCTCGAGAGCACCGTCACCCTTGAGGACAACAAAGGTGATGTCCGGGGCATTCTCGCTGGACTGCACCAGCGTGCGGAAGCGCTCCATCTCGCCAGCCGACTTGAGGTACACGATATAGTCCAATGTAGGGTCGCCCCACACCTCATCGATGGTGCTGACGACAACAGCACCATGGTCCCAGTCTGCAGCCCGAGGGCACCAATCGTCGACGCACATCGACCCAGTGTAGCCAGGGCCCTTGTCCTTGTCAGCAGCACGTCCCTTGCCTTTGCCAGCGCCCTTGCCATGGGCCTGCTCCCTGCCCTTGGCAGCCAAAGGTGCTGCGCTAAGCTGGACCACCCGAGAAGGTGTCGTTGCTGCTTTCTTCTTGTCCTTCGCCTTGCGCCGGCTGACCGTCTGCCAGCCACCGTCCTCGC